TCATGCAAAAGATGTCTATAGTTACTGAAAGTTCATAAGCACAGTACAGAAAGATGAGAATTATTATGAGAGCTGTGGGACAGAGAAGTTTGTTGCTGAGCTTATTACCCTTCTATCCCGTAAATCCCAATTTTTTAAAAAATAAAAGCTGAAATGACAATTATAGATATGAAGAAGTGTAAATGCTAAATGTCTCTTCTTTTTGTAAATTTTGCTAGCTGGACTTCAAATCAGAACATGGGTTTACATGTGTGAAGGAAATATGAATGCAAAAGGAAGCCTCTAAGCTGAAAGATTATAAAAAATGGGAATGCTGAGAGTATGTGAATGTTGTCAAACCAAAATTATTTGTGACACTATCCATGAACCTTTTCTGTAAAAGACTAACGCAACATGAAAAAAGAATTTGATGAGTTAATGAGACACTTCAAGGAAATGATTGAGTGAAGTAATAGGATCAGCATCGTCAATTACCAAAAGAGAATGAAGCATATTGTATTACATTACCATTGGAACAAATTCATGAGTGAGAAGTATATTGCTTGGTCGCATGTCCCTATGAATAATAGGACCACCACGGCATTCCTCGTGCAGAAAACGCAATCCCTTTGCAGTCCCAACGGCAATAGCATACCTTTGGTTCCACTTAAGGACCGCAGCATTATTTTCTACAAAAATATACTTATAGAAGTTAAACCTTAGTACATGTATATAAAATATATTTTTGAGATTTGTGGCGTAAGATATAACAGCACAGTAAACCATAGGACTTACCAAATAAATGCCAATGGAGAGACTTATTGCAAATATATTCATAAATCAGGATATTTTTGCTTTCTTTGCAACAGTAACCCAATAGCATCACAATGTTCTTGTGGCGAGCAAAACTTAATACATAAACCTCTGAATGAAATTCAGAAAACCCTTGTGAACTTTCTTCTTTCCTTACTTTTGCAGCAATTTGTTGTCCATCTTTAAGCTTACCCTTGTATACGCGACCATATCCCCCTTCACCTAGTAAGTTATCCTTTAAAAAATCATCGGTTGCATGCTGTATGTCAGAATAGCTGAATCTCATTGATTCCTTGATAAATAATTCAGTCCTTGTCCCACAGCCAGCACAAAGAATTGGTGCATCTGAAGATTTTGGTAGAAAGCCACATTGGCTTTGCTTTTGGTCAATCTGAGAAGTCATGAAATGTCTATGTTCTCCTTTGATGGTTATACCTGGATGACAGTTAAACTCTCGTTTATAGCAAAGAACTAAGTTGAATATATAATAAAGTCCAATTGCATATGCCACCAACAATTGAACCATATATGGATTTCCCTTCAACTGCAATGCAGTATTTGAGCTAATTTGAAACTACCTAAGCCTTTACCAATTTGCCATTTACAGTTTCCACTGATGTCCATAAGAAGCACAGAAAGGGAAAAGCATTCTCATTCTGTTAATGAGTACTGTGATAGTTCATATTATTAGAAATGGATGGAATAAAGCATAATGGAATGGAATCACATTTGTTTTCATTGTTTACTATAGGATGAAACGGAATATAAATCAATTGAATGCATTTCATTCAATTTCATCCAATATCTTTGTTTTCTTCTCCAATTTGGTAGGTATGGGATGGAATGAGATGCAACTAATTTATCATTTACTAATTTCTTTACCATTCTATCCACTTCTCTTACGACGGAATAAATTCTTCACTTCATCATATCATAAAATATCTAAATAATAATAGTATGGTAATCTTTTTTGTTTTAATTTCACACTCATTCCATCTCATTCATTCATTCTGTTCTATACCACTATTTCAACCATCATGATTCATGAAATATCCTAATATATAGAATCTTAAAATTTCTCTTCCAAGAAATGAATAATTATAATATTCCATAGGAAGGAACTAGAATCATGCACATAAAACACATAAAAAGATCTAGAAAAGCTTGTGACAAATGTTCATTTCCAAGCACACTGAACTAATGCTACTACAGCATGCAGAAAGAACAAAATAAGACAGACTAAAAATGAGAGACGTGAATAAAAAAGTTACTGACCTGATCTTTCATGCTTAGAAGAAGATCCATAATCTGATATGGAACTGTGTTCCAGTGACCTGTTGACATGTGACTGTTTTATATGTCTCTTAATTGTACCAGAGCTATCAGAAGAAGCTACAGATTGAGGACAGCTTTTGCAAGAGATAATAGACTGTTCAATGTCTTCAATACTATGACAATCTGATAGTGACACAAACTTGGACATGGAAAATCCGAGCCTTAATTCGGTGACCTTTGTATCATGTTCATTATGAGATCTCCAGATATCCAAAGACAAGTCATCTTTAACCAATGCAACCTTACATGGCATCTTGTTAAGGTGGAATCTCAGGTCGCGCCTTAGGTGTCTGTTCAAATTTACCCCGATATAATTGAAAACCATTAGAACAAAATAAATAGGAAACTAAGATAAAAAAAAATGAAACTTGAAAACAAAATTGAACCATAAAGTTTCAAATATAAACCTATTAACCAACACAAACCAAATCCTAAACCATTAATTTGGTAGGATTTGTTTTGATCAATGAATACAAATAAACACGTAAAGTGCAATAAAACTGGTGACAACATATTGATATGCATCCGTTGTTTTGAATTCTATCAGCAAGGTCATTGGTGTAGAATTTTCCATATGAAAAGGGAAAAAATTTCATTACCAAGATGCAAGTGTGCAATTAGATATACCTATTGCCACATTAGGATAAGACAATTATTTGGTAGCAATATCCTCAAACGACTAATGGAAATCATACATCATATGCAAGAGTTAATGCTGTTTTACACATGTAGAGATTATAATACCTATCAAGTATTATCCAAGATGCATTATAGTTTGCAACCTCTTGTAAGAGAACCTGTTTAACTGGAAAACCCGCGGTGACTTTAACTTCGATGCTAAGCTGCACATCCACGTAAAGTTATTAATTTGATTACATAGTAGCCCTTGAAAACATTCGGTCAAAAATGATTTGATTCACAGCAACATTAAACCAGTTAAGGAATTATTATATATATTCATCTGCACAATTAAGGATGTATTTATTAGGTGAAGTGGCAATTGCAAAAGCTTTCTAGAACTTAATACTATGTACCCCTTCATTTTCAAATTCTTCGTAAATTGAAAAAAGTTCACTTGCATATGCATCGACTTTCTTTCTGACTTCTTCCTCCATTGCACGAAAGTTCGTGCCAGCAAAAGACTCGGGGCATGCTAATGTCTGGTACCCCACTGTTAATCCAAATGAAGGAACAGAATAGTCACGCCATGAGTTGTAACCAGCAAAGGAAAAATCTATATACTATAACTTTCCTTCAATACACAAATGCTAATGATCAACTATTGATTGAATAAGTATTTACTCATTAACCTCTCATGACATTGGGACGTATGACACAAATTTGATCACGAAACTTACAGTAACAAGCCAAAAAGAATTATTTTGATAAGTTATACAAAAAAACTTAATGAAATAATTTACACACAACTTATGAAAATCATAAGCCATTTTGATAAATTTCTTATAAGCTCTTCCAAAGACTCCCAATATCATTTAATTTATTACTTTGGTAGCACTGAAATCTCTTGCTCAAACTGATTAAAGAATCTTACAGTATCTGCAATAACAGTATAACACTGACTTATCTCTCTCTGTATATAATAACAGTTTTCTAATGTGTCTAAGGGTACACGATAAGAATTTGTGTAAAAAATAAGTTTTTATTGAAACTTATAAGATCACAAAGTATTGAAAACATTAAATGTTACAGTTTCTAGTAAAACCTTTTACTTATTAACCAGAAAACTTACTGGGGTGAGACACCTTGTGCAAGATGCATAGCACAAGCAACTTGTCACCAGGAGAGAGAAAGACACTCCTGGCACGAACGTGATCTACAACGAGCTTGATATCGTGTTCAGTGCGTTCCCTTGTGGCATCACATGCAACAACAACGTAAGATGAAGAAGGAGGGCTACCCATACGCAATATCTATGCTGCAATGAATCTCTTTCAACACTACACGCTTTGTGATGATGATGATAAGGTTTGATGTTAAAGCTTGAACGATGACATGAAATGGGGTGACGTAGAAGAGTACATAACAACATGTAAGTAGCATTGAAGAGTGAGAAATGATCGTCCAATGATTCAATGACAGAACCAGGTTTTTGCCTTGTCTGTCCAAAACAGCACACTAATCATCTTTCTCTCACTGTAAGCTTTGGACAATACCAAGAAAATATGCTTTTGGATATTCGGAAACACAAGCATTGGACGGTGCCAAGAGGGGAAAACTACGAAGAACTTGAAGACAGTTTTGGTTACTGTTTGCTCGGACATGCTTTCCAAGATCCAGATTCTATTCATTTTCTCTTTTAAACTATTTGAATCTGTCATTATCAGATTAAATTATTCCATATTCCCTTCGCCTTGTAATCTTGTTTGCGTTGACATACTCAACATTAATTCCGGTCAGAATACCAACAAACATAAACAATTTTTGAACAAAAAAAGAAGAATAGCTAGTCTTACTCTTATCCGTTTGAGCAATATTTATGTCTAAAGGCAATGCAAACTATGAAGGAGCATTTTATGCATCTTCAAAGGGTGCCTAAACATGACCACATGGATGCTTGAATAATTCTTATGCCTTGATGTTAATAAAGTTTTAACTAGGATATGTGAGGAGATAGATAGATAGATTACATGATGTAGCCAATGTTTTTTATAAAAACCAAAATGATTAACCTGTGTGTGTGAAACCCAGGTTTATCTGCTTCTTGGTGAATGATAATGTTATCTTCAATGGCAATATTAAGTGCATTATTTTATTGATTTGTGAGCTTATCTCTGTTTCAAGTGTTTGGTTTCATACTTGATTCCAAGAACTAAATGTTACTTTTTGGTAAACTTATTGTGCAACTAACTTAAGGGTGAATAACATAGGAAGCATCAAATATGGAGAAGATTATAAGAACATTCAATCCCTTTGTATATTTTACATTCTGACAGTCAGATTTAGTACAATTTCTTATTGGAACTGCCAATATCTACAAAGGAACATCAGAAGGATAGTCTTTGGGATGCTTCTCTATGGTTTCTCTTAGTACCCTCTCTTGCTCCTTAAGGTTTGATGGCACTTGGTCATAGACATCATTAAACATGTCCTCAAGTGGAGGTTTCTGTGCTTTCTCTGCCACCTGAATCGCATGCATTAACTGTAGGAAAGTAACATAAATTAGAAAGAAATGTCAGAACAGGTTGGTGTGCACAAAGATGGACTAAACTGCAATATGCAAGATAAAATTTACCTGCTTCCTGATACTACTTCTAAGCTCCAATTCATCCTTGTCGCTCCACCAACCATTCCTTTCTACCCATCTTTTGAATCTATTTACAGGATTCCTTGCCATCTTCCAATATTCAATCTCATCGATTGGCCGGTACTTAGTTGAATCATCAGAGGTAGAGTGGTGTCCTACTCTATAAGTGAGAGCCTGAAGGTTATTCAGCATAAGATTGGTGAAACACTAAAATGGTGTGGCATCAAATATTGATCATCTTAGTATCAAAGAAGCTCAATGCACCTCAATTAAAACTGGTCTTTTTTCTCTTATAGCGACTTCTCTAGCAGTATGAACTGCACTATAAACAGCAAGAGCATCATTTCCATCGACTCTGACACTCCAGATGCCATAAGCTTGACCTTTGACTACAATTCCATCACCTAACCAAACAGGAAAAACAAATGTTTCCACAAGTTGTAAAATCTAAATCAGAGACTTTAATTTAATAGTTTTGGTAAAAATATGTAATGTTTGGTGAGATATCAAATAGGGTATGGACTAAGGTATTTCTCATTAAGAGTGTGACAAAAATAAATGAAATGAAATAATTACTTCTAAATTGTTCTTCTATAGGGGTACTGATGGCCCATCCATTGTTGCGGCAGATAAAAACAACAGGAGCCTCCATTACTGCTGCAAAATTCATACCAGCATGGAAATCTCCCTGAAATATTTGATGTGATTAAATTGTAGCAATAAGCATAGTGTTGTTTCATTCTATTACTGATTAAGACCTAAGAGAGAGATGATTCATCACCACTAACCTCACTGCTCCCCCCATCCCCACAATAAGTGACTGCACATGCACTTTTTCCATCCATTTTAAGGGAATAAGCAGCGCCCACAGCTTGAGGAAGTTGTGTTCTGAATTTCTTGCCAAACAACATTAACTTTTTCAGAGTTCATGTCATCAGTTAACAACTTTGTTTGCATTTATTTAAACATGTTTGTTCTAGTATGTTTTCTATGTCTTACGCAATGGGAGATGAAACTGTGAAGTAATTGTGCTTGTTAGACCCATAATGTATAGGCATTTGCCTGCCTTTCCCAAGATCATTTGTGTTTCCAAAGCACTGATGAGCAAATTGTTGCAGTGTAAAACCACGCCACAGTAGAATTCCAGGCTCCCGGTACTGCCAGTGACAACATGATCAGCATTTTCATCATCAACAAATATGTACGTGCATCAATTTGTATGTGTTTGTCAAATCATAATAATAATAAGCAACTAATAATACTAAGATTTTATTAAAAAGAAGAATTTATTACACATTTGTAACCTTATTTAATGAATGTATCTCTTTTTAATAATTTTTTTTTAATGTTTAAATTCAACCTTGAAGACTAAGGTTAAGAAAACTCAATAATATAAGAGTTTTTTACGAGCATAAGGGAAGTTAAGTGCCTGGATAGTGAAATGCAAGACTAAGAGGTGCTAGTTAGAATATTAGATAGCAGCTAAAGTAAGATGGTAGGCAAACCTGAGGCAATACAATATCATCAGGAGCAAGTGCTGCTGCAGATGCAATGTTAACTGCTTCTTCTCCCATTGAGGTGAGATAGAATGAAATTCTTCCTTGCCTCTGCACTTCATAGAATATGCTGTCCATACTTTGAAGAGTGACCATGTCAGAGTACATCTTCACAGCCATTTCCTTGCTAACCTGTTAAATTATGTCCCAGAGATTACTCAACAATATGTTATGTAAATATCAATAGTGTTCCCATGTGTTTCATCTAAATTTTTCTTCAATATTTTTCCAATAATGCTCAAAATCAAAAAAATTATTAAATGTTTTTTATATCTTCAAGATGTTTATTTAATTTTTTTTATAAGGTATTAAGAGGATTACAGAAAAATATAGCATTACTCTATCACAAAAGCTAAAGTCAAAGTTTGGTTGGTGGTAGTACTGAGTGAACTGAGATACCTGTACATAGTTGCTGTATGTCACGAGTTCGCCATTCTCATCAAGAACTCGATAACAGGGCACCCTTTTCTGAGGAGACTCAGAAATGAATCTCATCTCAGAGGTAAATGCAACTTTCCCTCCAGGAAAATCAATGACCTGACACAGTGAGAGGCAGAATTAAATAATCTTAGGGAATATGGTAACATTAATCCTTTGGAATAATTTGGGAATAAATCCTTTTAGCTTTTGGAAAAAGTTTCTGCTATTTTCATCATTAGGATTTAGTGGGTTAAGATTATGAAATCTTTGAAATTTAATTAATAGCTAATCTATCTTGCCTTGATTACTTTAAAGACAAATCTACTTTAGATAAGCATATATTTGGTTTATTTATACGTGTGAGAACGAAAATTATGATATCCACTATGATCTCAGATTCTTGGAAATGTCACATTGAGTCAAATACCAGATGCCATTTAGTATGCTTCAAACTGGCAGATTGCTAATTCAACCTAATTTTATGCATGGTGTGAACTGATCGGACCAATTCACTTCTGTTTACTTATTTATATAACTATAATTTAGAATTATGAATTTTAAATAATTTATTAAATTTATTTATTTGCATAAATATTCATTTTAAAATGACATTTAAGAAAAATGAAACCAACTTGCAAGTTTCTAGATCACCCCACATTATCGCCTAACTTTGCACCTTCTTATAATTTGTAATATTATTTACATGTAAAATATTAATTGAAAGTCTTGGAGTAGGATGGTTGAACCTTTTAATATAAATACTTTAAAAATATATATTTAATTTTTATCGCGTGTTATGATTTGCTTAAAACGATGCATTAATTCCTTCTAATTAAAAATTAATGTTTTACTTTTAGAGTTTAAAATGAAAAATCAATCAATTGAAAGGGGTTTATATTTCCTTTGACATGGGTGAGCAGGGGAAGATGGTAAAGATTATAGTAAGTAAAAATTTCAATTGGGTATAAGGGCCCAAAACAGTGGCGAAATATCATCCACAATAAATAATAGAACAAACAAATGCTATTGACGTGTTACACGTTCATTCGGTTGCATGTCTTTTAGTACTGAATTACACGTGTGACATCATCTACTTTCATTAGTCACATAAAGTAACATCAGTGGTTGCCGTTAATGATGTAAAAAAAGCTTTGAGTTTAGTACCATTTCCAAACAAAAAAATCAAATCAAATAAGAAGTTTGATAAAATATTATATTTTTTCATTAAACAGAATAACGGTATTTATATATATCTATTTTTGTAACAAATTAATCTATAAGGAAGAGAAATAAATAATATATATGATATGATAAAAAAAAATATAAGTAAATAAAATTATAAAAAATGTTGGTAAAACTTTATTATATGAACAATATTATTGGTTCGTAATCTCCAAATCAATGCTAGCCGTATTGACCAAAAACTTTAACGTAAAGCCTTTACAAACTCTAAATTGAGTTTAAATATTAAAAAGTATATCCTTAGACAATGACACAAACAATTGTAAATTATTCACGCAAAGCTTATTTAGAAATGAAGCATATCGCAAACTTTACGTACCTCGTGTTAAAATTTTAATTAAACTTATGATTATTTAATCTCCAACACCCTGATCTCGTGTTATGATTTAATTCTTTAAAAATTTAAAACTGATTAATAATACTATTTTCACAATATTATTATCTCTCTTCATCATATTATATTTATTATATTTCAAACTTTTCTTCTTATCTTTCTTGTCGGTATAATTAGTATAGTTGCGAAAAACATGTATATATCGAAATTAAGAGCTTTACTAAAAATTTCATATACATTCCTTCAATGTAATTAATTCTACAACAACAATACTATTGAACGTGGTTTTTAGGTAAGGAGAACCTACGGGGGCGTTCTCTGTTCCAAGTTCAGATTGGAAATACCAGAAATAAGAGAGAAAAAGAAGGGATGATCAAGAAAGGTCACACAGGCTTCTTAACTCAACAGACAAGAATCAACATCTAAATCTGAAAAAACTGAATAGACGATGGCTCACTAAGCTATACTTGAATCATAAAAATAGAAAACATTAGTAAATTAACTCTAATAATTCATATAATAATTATAATTAATTACCTGATTATGATCATCCTCACAGACATCTTGGTCCAATCCTAATTGTGCCGCAGCTTTGGTGGATTCAAAACGCGAGAAGGAGGAAAGGGTAGCTGAGTTGTTACCCGTTGGTGCATGAGATATCTCACGGCACAAAAAAGGGTTATAAGTTGATGGAAAGAAGGAAGAAGGTGAAGGGGTATGGTTAAGAAGTGGTGCTGACAAGAAGGAGAGGTTTTTGTGAAGAGTGAAGATCCTAGACCTTCCCAACAAGAAGGAAGCCATTCCTATAACAAGGGGAAGGGACTAGAAACTAGAAACAAGAAACTAAACCTATAAATAATGAAATTAATGATGATGGTAGGGTAGATGTAGATGGATTGGAGTAGTTCCACTATCACACGTACTTATCTTTAGGTGTCTGTTGTGGGTATGGCAAAATGGGTGCATAGCATGGGTGTGAAGCTGGCCTAACATGTTAATACAAACCTTGGAAGTGTTATCCTTGGCGTGGGACCACGTAGGATTGTTATCTTCTAGCATTCTTTTGGTGCCAAGCTAATACCAACTTTTTCAAAATATTTTATTATTATTAGATTGGATTTTCTACAATTAAATAACGTGCGTGAATTTGCTGTGTACTAACGACCCTAACACGGCATTAGGAATCAAGTTAATTAATAGATAAGATCAGTTTTTTTTTATTAAATAAAAGTTTATTTGTTGAAAAGATAAGTTTTAAATTATTTTAAATGTTTTCTAAATCTAAGAATTTGTCTTGCCTAAATAAATAATTTTATTATTATTATCATTACTATTATATATATGTTTACATTTAGATAATATTTTTAAAAAAATAAGTCAAAAGAAAAATTTATTAAGAAAATTTCCATTATTAAATCATTAAAGAAGAATAAAGCATAAAAAATTTCTTTATTATATAAAAATAAAATTAAAGAGATAAGATTTATGAAATTAAAAAAATGTGAAAATAAATTATAGAATAAACTATTAATTTTATATAGTATATCAAATTTATATTTATAAAAAAATTTATATATAAATTTCTAATATTAAAAATATATAAATTATAATTAAATTTTTTTTAAAATATATATAAAAATATTTAATGCAAGAGAAATCACCCCATACATTATAAAAGAAAAAAAAAGTAAAACCCTTATTCTTAAATAATATAAGATTCAATGTCATACTTCCCCTCATATCCTTCTATTTATTTAACGAGATTGATGTGGCATGAAATAAATATTTTTCACAAATTTAACACACCAAAGTTAATTAGTTAAATATTAACTAAAAGAATGAAAAAAGAGTAACTGTTAATAATGTTATATAATTTTCGTCAAATTACGATGTGTACTATTTACAATTTCTCTTCCATAACTCACTAACCCCCTATCTAATTAACACCCTAGCCGTCTTAATTAACCTCCCAACTTCTAATTAGTCTCATTTAGGTTTGTTACAATACTTTATAGTTTAGGTGTACAATTTAACCTGACAACAAAAATTTCAACTTCCACCTTTAAGATTGACTTTATTTATTTCGTTAAAGTTAATTATATTTTTAGTTTTGATAAAAGTAACACTTTTTAAAATTAATTTTTAATTTTTTTATTAAAATTTAATCTCTTATATTTTTAAATAAGTGAAGTTTAATTCAGAACTATAATATCATTATTACTTTCAATATTTTATTATTTAAAAATTAGATAAATTCTCTAGTATACTTAAACATTCAGAGGATTATCGATGCCTTTTTTAGATAAACAGATCTTATTCATTTATTTTTAGATGATATTTAATATTTTTTATTATAAACTTTTTATTGCAAAACAATCCTTCTAATATCAACCATCAATAAGAAAAAACAGATTTATATCATCAAAAATTTACATGATGAAACTGAAGTCTTACCAAACCGGAAAACATGATTCTTGATCTGCTCCACGATGCTGGTGCGATGGAGTTCTCGCTTGCCAAGTCTGAAACGATCCTCAGTCCTTTCATCAATGGCACCGATTCTGACATCCTTTAGATCGCGAATGCCGTTATCGACGTGATCCAAAAGTTCATTGCACAAGGTTATCTTCGCGGTGAGGCAGACTTTGACGGCGCTACGGCGGAGGCCGAAACAATGTGACAGAGTTGCTGGTGTTTAAGATGCTTTTCTGCCATAACATCAATTTTGATGCAAATTCATGGTGAATGTTTGCTTCTCATTGTAAGAACATGCTATGATATATATGTCGTGAGTAAGAACGTAGTTAATCAGACGAGTGCGTAAGCGTCATTGATTCAAACGTTGATGACTGTGTTAAGGAGAATGGAGACAAATTTGTCCTTGGTTTCGATTCTGTTGATTGCGGTGGCTTAATTGATGGAGCCAATGTAAAAATCTATTGTGGATATTTAGATGATGCAGTTTGTGCAAGGGTTTATTGAGAATTAAACAAATAAGGCATTGATGATTTTTCTCTTGCTACCAGATCTGCTGAAGGGAGGATTGAAAAAAAAAACAATAAGGCATATTTCATATATGGTGGTAGGGAGGGTATGGCCTCTCATCAGCGGTAGGAAGATCTAAGTTACGAATTAAGAGAGAATCTTGAAACTTACTTGAAGGTTACCGAGGGAAAGGAATTTGTGGGAGGAGGGCTGAGGATTATAGAAGAGTGGATTATGTTGGGATTCATCATTAATTTTTAAAATAATATAAATATTTTTAAATACTTTTTGTAATATTAATTTTTAAAATAATAAAAATTTAAACTAATTAAATAACGTAATAGTGATAAATTAGAATTTTATTATTCAACTTATCACTTAATAGATGAACAATAAAAGATTAATTTTAAATATTTTAAAAATGTCAAAAATTAAAATTTAATAGCAAAATTTAAACAGCAATTCTAAGTGTGCAACTTTTATAAAAACTAAAATATAATTATGTTTTGTTATTGTTTCTTTTTGTGACAGTTAATAAGAAACTGACCTATGCATAATTAAAATGTATTAAAGCCTTCTTAAATTGAAAAACAAATTAAAAAGAATGCTAATGAATGTCCTTGGAACAGTAGTTAAAGAATTAAAAATAAAAAAGTTATAAAAAAATACTAATAATATATCCACTTTGTAATTTTCAATAAAATCTTATTATGATTTTTAATAAAATCAGAATGCTGTATTGTTTTAATTTTTCGATCATATAATATTTTTATAAAGTAATATATTTGTTATTTAATTGATAAATGACGTGACATTCCATAATTCACTAATAACCCATTTTAAAATGAATCTACATTTCTGAAATGGATCAATAGTGAAGAATAAGGGATCACGTAATTAACAATTTCTTTCAGGGTAGATAAGGTCAAACAACATCTTTTGACATTATAAAGAATGAATGTAATTTGCATTACCAATCGTAGTTTATAAGGCACTTCAATGCAACATCCACATATCCTGCCAACTGCCACAACTTTCCTTCTTTTTTAACTAGGCCTATACAAGTTTTAAAGATTACCTTCAGTCTCCATCTCCCAGACCAGTAAATTCAATAGCAGATAAAGATCCTTGCCACCATAATGTTGTAATTGATTTGAAGAAAAAGTGTATACATGATTTTTTATTCCAACCCAACTGTATCCGATGAACTCTTTAGTACCTCTATTTTCCACAGCCTTCCTCATTCTAACCATGCTCTCCCATCTACCCCTTATTTGATATGCCTCAGCCAAAACCAAGTAAGGTAAGGATGTCTGCGGTTCCCTATCCATTATTTTCTTTGCAACTCTTTCAATAACTAGCAGATCTCCATAAGTTGCACATGCAGAAAGAATTGACCTCCAAATATCAGAGTTTGTTCTATATGGCATTGTTTCTAGTATGTCAATGGCTTCTTTGAGCTTACCAGCTTTACTCAACATCTCTACGATGCAAGCATAATGTTCTTCCCCCGGTTTTACTCCAAATTCCATCTCCATTGAGGAAAATATTTCAATTCCTTCATCAACCAAACTCCCATAGCTGCATGCTAGTAGAACTGCAGTAAGTGTTATTCTATCTGGTTCTATGCCTTCTCTAATCAATTCCCTGAAGAGGTCCATGGTCACAGACACTTTGCCATTGTAAGTCAGTCCCATCATTATAGTGTTCCATGATACAAGATCTTTTACTTTCATTGAATTGAAGATATTCAAGGCATCATCAATAAATCCAAATTTAGCATACATATCAACAAGTGAATTGGCAACAACTGCATCTAACTCGAAACCCAATTTAGGAACCAAAGAATGGATTTGATTACCCATTTCTACTGGTAAGAAAATTGAAACAGAACTCGGAAGACAGCTAACCATGTATTCTGTTGGCCTGATATTCTTCCTCAGTGTCAGCACAAAAAGTTGTAAAGCATCTTCCCCTAAATCATGTCGAGCATAGCACGAAATCATGGAATTGCACAGAGCCGAATCCCATTGACCTTGTTCCTCAAAGAGCCTGACAGAATCCTCCAATCTGTTGCATTTGGAAAAGAAGTCAATAGCAGCACTTGACACAATGCTATTATAAACAAATCCCATCTTGAAACAAAAGGCAAAAACTTGCTTACCCTTGTCCAAATCTCGCAAGTTAGAACAGACACTCATCAATATTGAACACGTAAACTCGTCAAGTAACAACTCCATAGCTCTCATGTTATAGAACTGTTCTAAAGCCAGCTCATGGTATCCAGCTCTATGAAAGGCCCAGATCAAAGAGTTCCAAGATATGACATCAAATTGCTTCATAGTCAAAATCACACCAAAAGCACAATCAACAAGACCAAGCTTCCCATACATAGTTATCAACGAATTCCCAAGTACTACATTAGACAAATCTATCCCACTTCTGATCATCCTACAATGAATCTGCTTAGCATGACAGGGACTAGACACAAGTGACATCAAAATGGAGAAAGTGAACCCACTTGGTCTCACACCATTACCTTGCATTTCAACAAAAAGTTCCAAGGCATGACTAACAAACCCATGAGAAGCATAACCTGAAATCAATGAGTTCCAACTAACAGCATCTCTAACGGGCATTGCATCAAACACGTGGCGGGCCCTGCCAAGCTGGCCACTTTTGAGCAACCCTTTCATGCAAATGTTCCAGGACGTGGAGTTCTTGTGAGAAATATCATCAAACACCTTCAATGCATCGTTAATGTGACCGAACTCAGAGTAGAGATCAAGACAGCGATTACCCAAATAGGTGTAGGTGTTAAGACCTAGTTTGAGGAAGTGGGCATGCACGGTTTTGACAAGGTTAAGGGATTTATGGGATAAACAGTGCTCTAGGAGAAGAGAGCAATAAGAAAGAGTAGTGTGAGGAGCTTGCGTTTGCTTCAAAATGGGGTACATGCAAATGTTAATGCCACGCCCACTGGCACATTTGAGAGTTAGCGAGAGCACCCCAACGTGTGGTATCTAAAGTTAATGGTGATCGTTGTGAAGTTGGGATTAAGTTCTGTTGAAGGTAAAATATGGGAACGTTAATATTTTTATAATAACCGAGTCATGAACTTGCGATCAAACGATAGCTTTGACTTGGAAAGCTAAAAATGGTTTTCCATTAAACTCGCTGTGTTTATCATGTTTATAAATAAATATTTTTAACTTTTAATTTATCCTAGTCGATCTTTATCCTGAATATTAAACGATTAACTGTAAAATGATTGGGAATGTTGATTTAAGTTAAATTTTAGTGGTTTTTTAGAAAATAATTTTTTCTCATTTTTAAATCACAAATGATAAATTAAAATGGTGGTTTGAGAAAATAAGTAAAAATTATTTAAAATTAAAAAAAGTAAACTGTTAAGACTAAATTAAACGTTGAATCGTTTCATCATTAGTGGATAAATTTAAAATAGAGTATTTATTTGCAAAAAGAAATTAAGTTTGTGGAGTGTTCATCGTTTTTTTTCTCCCACGATTTAGAAAGAAGTGATCCACACACCCAATAGTCATTTACATAGTGGGAGGTAGAGAGATTCATACAAAATTAATTTTAAAGTAAAAATCTCGTTTAAAAAGGAAAATCAAACGTGTTGGAACAAAAAAGTTGCAAAACCTTCTCTTGCAAAGATCGGTTTGACCCTCCCAACTGCAAATATAAATACCTCATTTGTTTGTGGCCTTAAAGTGGTAAAAAACCTATTTATCAACTAACCTTAACCCATGTAAATTAGGGTTAAAAAAATTTGTGGACTAAAAAGTTTATTAATTTATAAGTTTATATCGTTAAAAAGTCCACAGATCAAAGTTAGGGTCAAGATTTTATAGATAAAAAATTTATATATTTTTAAAAATTAGATTTAAAAAAATTTAATATAAATTGAGATAATTATTAGAATATTTAGTAAAAATATTTATTTTATATAACATTTTTTATAATAAACTTATAGTTCAATAAAATTATTTAGAAAAGAAAAAAATAAAATTTATATAATATTAAATATTCATAATGATTGTTGTTATTAAATAAAATTAATAAAAATAACAATTATTATATGAATTTAACAATTTTTTATATAATTTTTATCTATATTAGTAATAATTATTAAATAATTGTAATAATTTTTTTATATAATGTTATAAATAAATTTTAAAATATTATTTGAATATTAATTATAAATTTTTTATATTATAAAATTTTTATATTATTATTTTCTTAATTTAATTTCATAAAATTATTATAAATATTTTTTTTAAGATCATATTTTATTTATGTAAAAATATCTTATATTTAATAAATAAAGTAACAGTAAACATATAAAATTGACAATAAAACATAACAAAATTTGTTAAATATAATGAATAAAAGTTAATATGTTAAAAAAAGTAAATAAACATTTTTATCGTAAAAATTATAAATATAGAATATTTTACATTATAAAATTTATGAATTCAAAAAAGTAACATATGAATATAGTAAGAATTAATGAATGTTTACAAATTTAAATTTTGATTTATTTTATTTTAAAAAATTATATTTAAATTAAAATAATTTGTGTTTCTAAATTTTTATCTTAATAAAATATTGTAATAAAATTTAACATAAAATTTTAAACTAAATGCAATATATAATACTTAATTTTATTTTATACATTAATTTATTATTTTAAACTCATAAATATACATAAAATTAAATACACTATAGTATTAATGTAATATAAAAAAATAGTATATATATGATAGATTAACTGATAATTTAATTTTTTTTATTTATATGTTGATTTATATAAATATTTACTAATTATTGAATTTTAAGTGTCAATTAACAATATATTTTTTTAATAATAAAAATCTATCTATACCTATATATCTATATAAAATTTATTAAAATTAATCATTTAAGATTTTATAATTATTAAATTAATCATTTAAGATTTCACATATTTATATTTATATTAAAAATAATCATACCATGTATAAATCTAAGTTATAATAAATCTATAATTATTAAAAGTCATTAAAAAATATTTAAACATACTAGAACTGATTAAATTTATTAAAATAATTATTATTTAGTCAAAAATATTTAATACTTATTCTTAATTAAAATCATAAATTATTAACATACTATATTAAATTTAATTAATAAAATTAAACAAATACAAAAGCTAAATTTAATTTAATTTTATAATATAATTATATTTGATATTATTTTTATGATAAAATTTTAATATATTGAATAAATATTTTTTTATTTTTAAAATTATTTTTTATATTTTAAATATAATTTTTAATTTATTTAAATAAAATAATTAAATAAATATTATAAAAAATAATATAATAGTTATTACTTTGTAAAATAAGTAGACTAGTCCACTCCTACCCGATTCTAGCTCACTATTTTCTTTATTTTGAAGCTTAGAGATAATGTAAATTCACTAATTATAATGCTTTAAAAAAATAAGACTATATAAGGAGTAACATGATAAGACTTTCCATTTTGACAGCTCTACCATTATTATTATCTTTTTGTAATTTTGTTACGAAACACTTTATATTTGTTTTCTTGATGATATTTATTTTTAATTCAAAATTAATTACTAACTAAAACAAAATTGCATTAAAATCGATACCTAGTGATGGGTTTGGATCTTTATACAAATAACAGGGAGTTTTAGTATAATTGTTTGTCTTTTTTATCCTACAACATGGAAGAGAACATAAGAGGATTCAAATTCCTTCATATAACAATAATCCAGTAAAATAAAATAAATACTTTTTTTCTACAATCGAGACAATACAGCAACCTTCTTATTATAGTTAAGTCAACCTATTTAACATAGGTGTCAACCCCTGTTGTATTACGTTAACAAATACAATAGTAAAGTTTCTGTGAGCACTCAACTGAACCATCCTAATGCTGTGTAGCTCTAAGACAACCAATATTTGCAACATTTTGGCGAATATATTAGTCTTCTGGTTAAACTACAATTGAAGTACAATACATATATTGCCTCACGTCAGTTGCCAGCAATGAGATTTTCTAATAGCATCCCATGTGTGGGAATAATGAAATTTACCTCAATTCCCAACGCTCCAGCGAAATGTACAAGATTTTGTCGTGCCAACAAACACAAGTGAAGAAATAATAGCCACGTTTTCTGATCAAGCATGAAGCCAATTCCATCCTCTCATAGGACAAAAAAAAAAGTATTGCAACCGGTAGGTTATTAGCCTCAGTTATTATTCTCGTGCCATATCAATGTACAAGCCTTCCAATAGGAAACAAAAAAAATTGAGAATAAAATTATGCAATCATGTGCAATTTCAAATAAGAAAGTTTTACCCTGGTTCCTCAACTTCAGTATTTCCTTCCAACTCCTGATGCAACTTTAGGGAGACTTAGCATACAATAGATAGCAGTAGCAAATGAAAGGAACCAGCATTTGCATAAAATTCCAAATATGCGTTGTAAGTCAGATCAGAGGCTTTGCTCCAACCAGATAGTTTTTTGCACCCCAATGCAACTTCCTGTAATATTTTGCAACAGTCTGCAAAGACCAACTTTCACTAATATTAGCTGTGCTCCAAATTTACACCCAAATCACAACTGGGCAGTGCTCTTAGTCTTAGCATAGGAAGAAGATTGCTATGGTACAATCATATGACACATTTCCTCTCCCATCAATATCAAATTCAGTTTTGAGATAACGTATCCAACAACTGCAGGTTTTCTTGACTACGTAAAATGAACCTTGGATTTGAGCTCCATACAAGCGCTAAACTCAGGCCAACGATGTAGACAACATTACATTCTTTGTTTGCTGGTTATGTTTATGTCACATGACCAAAAGAATATGACATCTAAGTGCCAATTTCTTTTTCCAATTTTAGGCAGTTAACAGTCCAACACTCAAGGCATTACATGTGTTTGAGTAAAATGTGCTCCCTGGCCCCAGCCTCCTGCTAGATCATTCGCAACACTGTTAGTGAAAAACAGACTCAATTAAACTCAAGCCATGTACTTTTAAACTGTTCATTCTCTTCAAATCAGTCAAAGCTACAAACAGCCCAAGAGTCCAGGAAACTAATAGTGGTTCCAAGCTTATTTCAATCAGGAGTTGTCCACCCTCAGATTGAGCTCCATACAACAGTCTTAGCAGAATTTCTCATTCAACAATCTGCCCAACTGCAACCAGGAATCTTCTGAACATGCTTACCTCTCATCAACTCTCTTACTTGTGCTGATTCTTCCCAGTCCTCAGAAGATGCAAGAATGTTAGATAATTGTATATAAGCACCTGGATTTTCAGGATCAAGCTGAATAATTTTCTCTGCAGCCATCTTGCCAATGCTCTTGTTTCCATGGGCTATGCAGCCTCGCAGTACTGACAACCACATGTTCGCATCAGCCTGAAAAGGCATCTCTTCAATAAGATTCATTGCTTCCTCAAAGCAACCAGCTCGTGCAAAAAGGTCAACCATACAAGAGTAATGTTCAATCCCCAGAGTTATATTATAGTTATGCTTCATAGTATGGAACACATTTCTTCCCTCTTCAACCAGACCACTATGATCACAGGCTGAAAGAACTGCAGTAAAAGTAACAGCAGAAGGCCTCACACCACTGCACCTCATTTCGCTAAAGAGTGTCAATGCTTCAAAACCATATCCATTTGTGGCATATCCCATCAACATTGTATTCCATGAAACTTCATCAGATTTCATCATTCCATCAAAAAATTTACGCCCTATCTCAACAAAACCACATTTACAATAAAAATCAACAAGGGAAGTAGAAATTATCTGGTCAGATTCAAGCCCAAGGGTAACGGCTTTACCAAAGACCTGCTCACCAAGCTCAAGGAATGATTTGCTGGCACAAGCACTGATAACACTGGAAAAGCTAAACTTGTCCATTTTCAAGTCCCGCTTATTCATCTGACAAAAAATATCTAATGCTTCACTTGGACATGCATTCTTAGTCAGGCCAACTAGGATTGAATTCCATGAAATTAAGGTTTTACTAGACATTGTGTTAAAAATCTGTTTTGCATCTTCGATTCTTCCACAATTAGAATACACAGTGATCATAGTATTAAGCAATATCATATCATAAGCTTTGAGCTCACTGAACAACTTGCAAGCTTCATAATGGCTTTGACACTTGGAGTAGGCATCAAGTAGAGCACTACCAACCACTATATCATGAATTACCCCAGCTCTACAAGCAAAGGCATGCATTTGCTCAACAAGTTCAATAAGAAGTAAGCTACTACTTGCACTCAAAATGTTAACAACGGCAGAGATATCTCCCCAAACCCCATTCCTGCGCATTCTATTGAAAAGAACCAAGGCTTCTATTTCCTCACCATTGGATACATAACTCGAAATAATGGAGTTCCACAACACAGCACATGGATCAACCTTACTCTCAAAAGCCCTTCTTGCATCTCCTATTCTTCCGGCATTTGCATAACCAGATATCAAAGCTGACAGAGAGAAATCATCCACTTCCCTCACAAAACTCATAACACGAGCAGCACTATCCAAATCACCACATTTCCCATACAAATTAATCAGTGAGCTGCACAAGACCTTGTCAAGTTCTTCCAATCCCAGGCCATCAATGAAAACACGTGCATGGACTTGTTTCCCACAGTTGAGAGCCAATAACTCAGCACATGCGCCAAGAACAGTTGCCAACACAAAAGCATCCCGGTACAGCATTTGCAAAGGGTCAGAATTCATGTTCTTGAATAGTAACAGTGCTTTCCTCGGATGCCCATGTCGGGAATAACCATGAATGATGGAATTCCAGACAAGGTGGTTCTTTGAGGGCATGGCATTGAAGAGAGAATGAGCTAGTTGAAGGTGACCACACTTGGCAAATGAAGAAACGACCATGTTCCAGGAGTAGTGAGTCTTGTGAGGCATGGCATGGAACAAGTGGAGGGACATGTGGGTGGCGCCTGAGTTGAGGTAGGCTTGGATGAGTGTGTTCCATGAGAAAGCATTTGTGTGGGGCATTTCGTCGAACAAGTTAGACGCATCGTGGAGACAGCCGTGGCCCGAGTATAACTGGAGAAGCCGGTTCGCAATAGCGAGGGAGGAATTAAGAATACCGGTTTTAAGGAATGCCACGTGGAGTTGTCTCCCTTCACAAATGGAGGACCATGACTGAAACGTGCGGGCCAGGCCATGCAATTCCACCATCCTCATTCTCCGCGCTTCTCAACCATTCTCAATTCTTTGCTTATTTATATTCAACTCTATCAATTAATGGGTTGATTCTTAATTACAATTTTTTTTAATATATATATAGCAGGCGCAAAACTTAAGTACTTACATAATTTAATAATTTTTTATAAAATTTGAATATATTAATTTAATTATTGAATTTTTTGTATTATTTGTGTGATATGCGTATTAAATTTCATATAATTTATATATTTATAAACATCTCTAAAATTTAATATTTTTGCATATTTTACCAATATATATATATATATATATATAAAAGAGAAGAGAAGAGAAGAGAGAAATAAGAAGGAAAGAGAAAAAGGGGTAAGTCTTGGTAGAATTGGAATTATCACGACTTGAATCTCTTCAAAAATAAAATAGTTAAAAGACTATATGTATATGCAAGACAAAAATTTAAAAAAGTATAAGCAGAAGGATCCTATTAAACAATATATATATATAATTAACTATATTTACTTATTACTAAGTGTATTAAATTTTGAAACGTAACTTTATCTACTTATTACTCTATACCTTAAAATTCAGAATATATAAAGTCATTCGTATTGACTCCACTTACTTATTATTCTATGCAAAAAAATTTAAAATGTATATTTTATGAATTAAAATTATATTTTATCACACTTATTATGTTTTAATTGTATTTAAAGAATATTTATTAATATTGATGGTTATATTATGTTACTAACGGTAATATAAATATTTATACTATAAATTAGCTTAAATTACCAAAATTAAACTTACAAAATTATTAGTTTATAATATATGTTGTTAAATTAAATTTATAATAAAAGATATTTAAATTATTTTATTAATTCATTAAAATAATTTACATTTTAATATGTACTTCAAATATTAAAATATAATTTGAATAAAAAAACACATTTAAAAAATTATTTATTTATATTATATATTGTTAAATTAAATTTCTAAAGAAAATACAATTTTACATGTTTAAATTATTTTATTAAATATTTTAATATTTACTAACAATACTAAATTGTAATTTAATTTAAAAGTACTACATTTATCAAATTATTAACTTATAATATATATTGTTAAATTAAATATCTAATGAAAAGACAAGTTTATAAATTTAAAATATTTTATTAATTATTTTAATATAATATATAGTTTAATATATATTTTAAAAACTAAAACTTACTTTAAAATGAAATAAATTATACTTATCTAATTATTAGTTTATATTATATATTATTAAGATCAAATAAAATAATTTAAAATTACTTTCATAATTTGCATAATTTATAAATTATAATCATAATTAATTCATGCTTATTATTTTTGAATTGTATTTAAGAAAAATTTATTAGAATTGATAATTATATAATGTTAAAAATAACAATAGCAAAACTACTGTAAATAATATTTAATAAAAAATATTATAATTTATTATAAATAATTTAAACGAATTTCAAAATTTTCTATGTTAAATGTTGAAAATAGAAAAAAAAATATTGGTTAAATTGTATAGAAATACTTTTAAAAAAAATTTATGAAGTTCTCAATTTATCTTTTAATTATAAATAAAAATATATCTTTGTTTTTAACTTCTATTTAACATTTGAATGTTAATTATTGTTTTATATTATATATTATTAAATTATATTTCTAATGAAAAGATAAGTAAACTGTCATACAAATGAAAAGACAACTTTTATTATATTAATTTTTTATTTTCTGATTTTTCATATATCACTGAGTAGGACTTCATCTTTACTTATATAAGTCATGTTTACACAAATTTTAAAAACTTTCTCACATTTCTTTCTATTTTCATCTTTTTTCTTTATATTTTGCAATCATGTCAGCTGTCAAGAATTACCTATCTACGTAAGTACGTGCATTTTCGAGTTTGATATTTTTTGTTTTATTTCACTAAATTGTGTTATAAATTTTAATTTAATTTTTCAAGTAAGCATAAAGATGTATTTTTTTTAAATGATATCATGTATTAAATTTTATTATTAACTGATTAATTTGTATCAAATTTATCACTATTTTTTATGCTTTTGTAAGAGAACAACAAGTTGCAATGAAAATAAATTGACTTTTCTTAATGATTTGAATTCAACAACAGATGATTGTATCAAACCTATATCTCCAACTATGCAAGCAACAAATCAAAAAGAAAGAGGAAATTAATGTATAAATTATAAATTTGTAATGTATTTTTCAAATTTCTTAGATAATACAGTAATTTATGTTTGATATTTTCTTTTATGTTACAACTTGAAGAAGATGAAGTAAAAAATGAAGAATAAAAGGCAACAATAAAAGATTTAGAAGATTGAACCATTTTTATTGCAATATTGTATAATTACTTTTAATATTATGTAGAATTTGAAAAGTAAAATGTCATCAAACATTTAAATTTTTTATAAAATAATTTTGTTATCTTATTATATACATTTCTCTTACTTTATTATTATTATTATTATTATTATTATGTATTGACTTTATTTTTAACATAAAATTTGCCTAGATTTTATATGTGACTCATAAACTTTATATTATATCAATTTCTATAATTTTAATTTATATAAATATTAATATTTATATTAAATAAAATCATTCTTCTCTTTTAGTTTCTACCTAAATCTTAATTGAAAAAATTTTAACTACTATTTTTTTCTCTTCTTCAATTATTTTTATTTTTTTACAACTAATTTAATAGAAATTCATATATCATAATTATGTATAACTTATTAATGTAGACAATATTTTATTTATATTTTATATTTAATAATTATGATGATAATAATTGATAAATTGTAATTAAAGAAAATTTATTAAAAATGATGGTTATATTATGTTTAAAACGGCTATATTAATATTGTTGTGAATAACATGATGCATGATAAAAAATTGTTAAATTTTTAAATGTAAAAAATTTTAAAAATTTCATTCTGAAGTAAAATTATGCCTAATGAACGAAAATAGTTAAATAGTAAAAAAAATCTATTAATTTCTTAAGTAACATTTTAATTGATATTAATTTAAATTATTTTATGAAATACTATATATACGATCTATATTTTAATTTGTACTTCAAATACTAAAATGTACTTTGAATTAAAAAAAAAAAAACTACATTTATAAAGATAGTAGTTTATATTACATGTTGTTAAGTTAAATTTATGATGAATAGACAAATTTATATATTTAAATTATTTTATTAATTAGTTTAAAATAATCTATAGTTTGATATGTACTTTAAATTCTAAAATTTACTTTTGCACTAAAAAATTTACATTTACAAAATTATTATTTTATATTATATATTGTTAAATTAAATTTCTAATGAAAAGACAACTTTATAAATTAAAATACTATATATAAAATAAAATTAAAATTGTTAAAATAAGTTATAATATTTTGCATAATAAAAATAATTAATAGGAAAAAATATCTATAAATTTGTTGAGTTACCTTTTAATTAAAATAACATTATTTATTTACTTTAAGTTATGTTAAAATTCAACGTTATTTACTTTAATTTATGTTAAAATTTAAATGATATTAATTTAAATTATTTTAAAAATTAGTTTAATATAATTTATATTTTATTATATACTTCAAACATTAAAATATACTTTGAATTAAAAAATTACACTTACAAAATTATTAATTTAATATAATTTAAATCATGTATTTAATTTTATTTTTAACTGATTAATTTGTATCAAATTTATCATTATTTTCTTTAATACATCACAAGTAATTATTTACTTTTATGTTTTTCACGCTTTTGTAGAGAATAACAAGTTCTAATAAAGATAAATATATCACCGTTGTAGAATACACTAAATATATATAACAAAAAAGAGTTAATTAGTACTGATACAGTATTAATTAATAAAAATGTATTAGTATTTGTATTTTTCTGATTAAAAATTTATTATTTTTAATAAATTATAATTATGTTATTTTTATATATTGTTGTATAATAATTAACTAACTTAATTTATTTTTAAATTTCTATGTCACTAACTATTATTAAGGAATTAAATTATGATAACATAATTCTTTACTGTATCTTTGAGTTTGTGAACTTTGAAGATTTAAAAATTTGTTGTGAAAATAACATCTTAACAGGTATTTTGCTATAAAATTTTACTAAAATTGTTATATAATTTATATTTAATTTATCAATTAGTTTTCTAAATTTATTTATTTTATGAATAGATGTGATTAAGGTAAGATAAAAGAATGAGGGAATTAATGTATAAATTATAAATTTGTCATATATTGTTCAAACTTTTTAGATCATACAATAATTTAGAAGATTATATTTTCTATTAGGTAGCAACTTGAGAAAAATGAAACAAAAAATAGTGAACAAAAGACAATAATTGAGGATTTAGAAGATTGAATTATTTTTATTACAATATTGTATAAATACTTTTAATATTGTGTAGAATTTGAAAAGTAAAAATGTCACCAAATATTTTTGTCTTTTATAAAATTATTTTATCTTATTATATATGTATATATCTCATTCTTTGATTGGTATCATGCATATATCATTCATAATAACATAGATTATCCTTGGCAAGCTTTGATACCGTTATGAATAATGATGGCAGTAAGCTTACCATAGTCATAACTGTCATAATTGATTTCTCCAGTAGGAGAATGACTTCGGAGTTTGCTTCTAATAAGATCTCCGAAAGCTTTAGGAAGTCCATCTAGATATTTTTCTTTCCAATAGGCTTGGTTGCAATCTTCTCTGGTTAGGACCCTAGACATGAAGGTATCTTTATACCATTTGAAATGTTCTAAGGAATCACACCTGAGGTTTGAAAGGAGTTCACCTGATCTTTCTCTCCAAAGAGAAGGATCTCCTAGGAAATGTTGGGATATTGTATATAACAACGTATACACTGCATCAGGGAGACGCTCATTGTCACTAACAATAGTTTTTCCCTTATCATCAATTTTTACTACA